TTGGCTGTAGCAGATAAAGGTATTTTAAATAGTTTTATCAAGTCTGCATGGAAAATTTACAGTAATTTTCTAGCACCTATTTATATATTATCTGAATTAAGAGATAACTAAAATATTCTGATTCTGAATATGACCACATTAAATTTATTGGATATTTTATAGAGGATTTTCACTGATTTGCACAAAAAAAAAAGTTACTCTACCATTATTTTAAAAATATACTTCGAAAATTTTCGGTGTTCCACATGTATGGAATAAAATTTAACTATTTAATAGAAATACATGTTGTGTCGGAAAATTTGGACTTTTCTAATTGTAACCCGGAAAGATTGCTTGAGGGTAAAGCGAGAATATTTTTCAGTGAGATAAGTGAATAGCAGTCATCTTAGTGACAAATTTGGTCACCAAATGTCGCAAAATTTAGCAAAAAATTTGACCGAGTCTTCTGTCAAGTAATGAATGTATATAATGTTTTAGAACGTAGGTATACAATTGTGAATGTTTTTTTTTATCAACACTTATGGGAACTCAGGGCTATAAGGGAATTCAGGATTCATACACAAGTTTTATATATGTCAACATTAGACATTATATTCTCTCCTGACGAGTGATCAAAGATGTTGACAAAGTTTTAATTTTTTTATCACCTCTTATATGACCTTAAATTTGAAACAGAATTCAGGGATTATCCGAGTTTTAGGAATGAGATTCAGATATCATAAGCTTTTCTGAAAATGACGTTAATGTATTAGAACGTAAACAAACAAGTGAGGACATTTTTATCACCTCTTATATACTGAGACCTATAATGGAATTCAAAAGAGAGGGAGTTATATTATGGTCGCATTATAAAGGAACACCCTATTGGCGATGGACCTCGTAATTGTGAGGCTTAGTCAAGTGACGAAAAAGACATTTAAACTGGCATCTGCTTTCCTAACTACCTCAAAATACTAACGGGAGGGCGTTTGAGCCTAGGCAGATTTAATGCGCATCGGCCCTTTCTACACAGAGGATTTTCAGTGGTACCAGGACACGAACTCACGATGCTCTGTCCACGTGTTTTTGAGTATAACGACAAGGTTATAGTAACCACCATGGAATTAAAAAGTTATAAAAAAATATGTTCAGATATAACAACTTCCCCTGTAAATCAATGAATGTTGATATGCAGGAGGGAATGTTTTTATCACCTAAGAGGTGATGTAAACTCAAGCCTGTAATGGAATTCAAGAACTACACAAACTTTATAAATCAAGTTCATATATCATAAGATCTTGCGCAGGATAGCGAAGTACTTCGACACACAAGAATAAAGGTATAAAACTTGACAATATAAACAGAATGGGGAAGACCATGTCCACGCATAGAAATGTCTAGAATTTTCTAACATCCTGAAAGAATGTTTCCAATAGAGTTGAAGAAGGTGTTTTTTCTTGACGGATGGATATCATCATCATCATCATCACCACTCCGCCCCCTCATAGCACGAGCCATTTAGTTTAATAGGCGTAGGAGGAAAGCGAACTCTCAACACATGCCTTAAACAGATAATGACTTGACAATAACCAAGTCAATAGAAGCAGTTTCTTTTACGTGGGTGAGACATCCAGAGAAAGAACTTTTAGAACATTTGCAAAGAACTCCATGTCGAGCTGGGGGAAAAAAACCAAGTTAAGGTTTTGTGTAGTTGAAGTATTGGCTTTGAATAATGGGCGCGAAAATTTTTTCCTTTCTTTTTTTTCGCCCGAAGTTTGTCGTTCATCTTCGTCAGTTTCGCAAAGATATGGTTAACATCAAGAAATAAATGCGAAGAAAGGTTTTGGGTTTGTGCATCGATACTGGAAATTATTCGCTTCTGCTTTCACACAAACAGAGGACAAATGTTTTTTTTTCTTAAAAAAAATATGATTTTGAAAATAAAGTGAAACATAATAGGAAGCAAAATAAGTATTTTAAAAAATAAGAAATTTCTCGCTGTTAGAAAATATAAATTAAAAAAAGTGTATCGGTTATAAAAGTAAGGGGGAAAAAGATAGTGTTCAAAATTTTCTTTATTTTTTAATTCATATAGAAATTTCCTTTTAAAAGGGCGATATCTAATCATAAAAGTTTAACTTAAATGATTAAATCGTGTGGTTAATATCCCGTCAAGTGAATGAGTGCTTTATAACATAGCACTTAAGATAACTCGAGAGTTATTGACGGTGAACCTCGTAATTTTGAACCTCGGTCAAGTGATGAGGACGACGCTTGAATTGGCATCTCTGTCTTCTAACTTCCTTAACTCACTACGTGTGAACTTTGAAGCACGAGAGATTAAAAATTCCCGCCAAGAACATGCTTTAAAAATAATTTAAATGTTGTATACTGCCTATGCGGCAAAGAGGCGCACTAAATATTCATCGAGACGCAAGTCCTCTCGAGCGGTTGGTGGAAGAGTAAGAGAGGAGGAAGCTTCTGACTACCTCAAAATTGGGGGGAAAACAAGCCAAATAATACTGTCACCTGTATGTATTTCAAAGCTGCGGCTAACGGCATACCTAAAAGCTAGCCTCTTGCCACGATGAATTTCGTGGGCCTCAATTTTACACCATCGATCAGGTGGCATCAAAAACAACAGAATCTTGATGTTAATAATTAACAAACAAGGTAAACATAAATTTAAGAGTCAAATGATGTTACGCTTACTTTAAAGGAAAACTATGCGTAGTTCTATATTTCGTATGTTTTTAAACCGAAGACATTGTTTTATGTGAGGATAAAATCAGCACGAGAGAGCGTCTTGGAAGTTCTTTTTGATTTAAGTGCCTAGAAAATCAATTGAAAGTTTTACGTTGTCACGTATTTATGTCTTGCCATCACAAATTATTCATTTGAGTGTTATTCTTTAAACAAAGATACATTGGACAAGACATAGAAACTTTTAGTTTATGTTCCGTCTCGACGAAATTTAAAGGAACCCCGAAGTACCGTATTCGATCGTTTCTAAATTCGAAGTTTTGATGAGTAGTTAGTTCTATTTCTCTCTCTTTCCATTGTAGTTATTTTCTGTTTCAGCGAATTGTTTTGAATCGCGCGTATCCGTAACTGAAAATAAAGGTTAAGAATGCAGGAAAACGTATTATTGTTAAAAAAAGAACATAATTTGATGAAATCAGGGAAAAATATACTCAACTCAGTTATAAACGGGAACACAAATAGACAACTAGAAGAGTTTGCTTGTTTTAGCTAAGTTACATAAAAATTTAGAAAGGAGCAGTTCATTTGTTTTTTAATTATAACAGATGAACTTTTTCTCCCTTATTCTAATTAGATTTTAATAATAGTTTAATATTTAATAATAATTAAATGATAAAAAGCATTAATCATTTAACAGAGATTGTTAATGAGTTTTTTCTATTTCTATAGGATAGCATATATTTTTTACAGCATCATTAATGTAATTCGATGGTAAAGATAAAAATATTACAAAAGTGTAAGCCTTATTAAATTTTTACTAATTATCAAATAAATGTAAAAAGTGACCCAGATGTCTTATTAAAATAAAAGCCTTTTGTTTAATGAAAAATGAAAAAAATTACAATGTAACACTACATGAAAAGATTCAAATAATTTCTCAACATGACACCATAGTACATATATATTTTTAAGGAAGTCAAATATCTAGTATGAAACCAAAATGTACTTAAAAAAAGTTATATTTCCCTCAAATTTAGTGTGTGTGTGTGTGGTATCTCAGTGAATTTTATATTCTTTAAATTTATTCCAGTACTTATATATATATATATATATATATACATACTTATCCAATGCTAGCGATTTATTGCCAAAAATTAGCACTCTACCAGATGTTAATCGCAAAATTTTTTTTCGAGTTATGGCAACCTTTTTCCTTCTGAGACTATAATTAGCTTTGTGTCTATATTTTTCTGTCTGTAATTTGCAAATTTCGTCATTGGCCCGAGGGTACCAAGTACATTAACTCCATTTATTTAATCATATAGGAATAGTAAAATATTTTAATTAAATTCCTAAAATTAATTTGTCACGATTCACCAGACCTTTACGTTTCAGTACCTTCTTTGAAAAATAAACTGTTTTAGTTTCAAAATAATTTCAAAACCCAAAGAGTTTTGTATTTAGATCTTTTAAATAGTTTTAATTAAAATTTTCAGCTAATACTCTTAGATAAAGTGGTACTAAAATTTGCAGATGAATTATTGTTCCTAAAACTGATAATCCAAGACAGTCAAAAAGAAAAGTTACCGATTGTACTGTGTCTCAGTTAAAATTGTTTTAGTGAACAAAATATCACCTAGTGGATAAAGAATACTGGATTTTGCTTACCGTTACCAGCCATCTGTTTCCCATTCAATTTAAATGTTTTCAAATCCCTTCATTATTTTGACGAATAGTCAGAGAACGAGATAGAACAACTTTTGCATCCTCCTTTCTATGCTTATGCCACGTCAAACATGAGTAGATTAATTCATGTGACATACTTAACTATTTTTGTAGTTAGGGGAAAGATTTTAGCATTTATTAATGTCTCAACTGCAAGATGGCGCCACCAGACTTTTAAGTTTCCCACTGGAGGAGGAACGGAAACCATTGGAGAGTGAATTGTTAGACTGTTTGAGATCTGGTGTGTAACCAACGCGCGGGATTCTCTTCCAGTGTTGTTTTTTAATACGCTTTTATTAGCTTCACCTGTATGTAACGGAATGTTTGAACTCGATTTTTACCCACTTTAAAAGATCAGAGATTAATTCAAAATTCTATTCATCCATTCAAGTTCAAATATTTAATAGTTAATAAAATGCTTTCTATCCATCCATTCAAGTTCAAAAACATTTTTTAAACTTGTAGTGGATTACACTTGATGGTAATATTTTTTTTCAAATATTAATTCATTAATTAAATTAAAAAATTAATAAATTTCAACAAACAAAAATCTTATTAAAACAGCATATATAGAAAGGAAAATCGCTAGTAGTGTACCAGTAGCGCAATGGATAGCGCTTTGGATTTCTAATCCAAACGTCCTATGTTCGAATCCTTACTGGGATAGCCTAATTTCTGAGAATGTGATTTCTTTTTTACTATAATATTTTATTAGGATAATTACATTTAGGAAAGGAATAAATAGTATCAGAAAAATAGTCCAACACCTTATATAGAAAGAAAAATGGAAAATCGCTCTCTATCTTGTCACTTAATATAGTGATTCTGTATTATTTATATACATATTTATATTAATTGCAACTAATTAATAAAAAGTAACTAAAATAATTTTTTTTTGTTGACCTAACTAGAAATTGACTTAATTTTTTTTATTTACATGTTAAGAAAATGTTTCTGTAAAACTCAAAGAAGGGCAACAGTGGAACGGTAGGATAGATTAGCTGAAATCCTCCAAAGATCGCCATTTGCTTTAGAATTAATGCATATATAAGCATCAAATGTACATTATCTTACTTGTTAAAAAATATAAACATACTGGGGGGAGGACCCCCATTCGTCTAATGGTGGACCAACCCCCATTGTATAAATTATACAACAGTTAACTCTCATTGCACAAATTGTAAAACTATAATTTAAATGTATAATGAAGTTCTCTTTATCTGTTCTATTTTTCTCAAAATTCGTTTTTGGAACCCCTTTTCCGTTAAATTCATCCATGAATCTGCATCGTCCAACACTTCCATCGATTAAGTCCTCAGATTTTGATAAACCTCTACCACTCTCGCAGCTTCTTGGAAAGATACATATTTAGTTCCGCTCTAATTGTTAAAAAGTCTTCGTATGAGACAACACCTTTCTTCTAATGCAAAGATTCCAGTCCAGGCAATCGTTGCGATATTTTTTGAGAGAGCGAGCAATAATGTACTATCGCAACCTTATTGGTGACATTATGTGAAACGAAGCATATGGTTGCCAAATCAACGTCTTTCGACACATGCGAAATCGGGGTTGCCGATTTGGCGAGTTATCTTGAACATTGGCCTTGTTGCGATAGTACGTAATAAATTCATTACAGAATCACAAAAAACCTTTTTTTATTTAGTGATATACAAATTACACTCATGTCCATAAATTAAGGGTAATTCAGAATCACACAGAAATTGAACCCTAAAATAAAAATTTCACCTGTAGAATTATCACACACATCTTGAAAAAGAATATGCAAATTACAGAAAACCACCAGATGGCACGGATAGTACGTCACAATGACGAGAGTGTAAGAGAGGGGTATATAAAGAATGGTGGCAAAGAAGTCAAATTGTTCACAAGCGCTTTAAAAGCATTTCAGTGCAATAACCGCATAGTTATGGCACAAAAGAAGCATTTGGATGATTTTTTACGTGGTAGAATTATTGGACGACTGGAATGTCGACGTACCCATCTGGAAGTATCCGAGGAACTTGGAATCGCCCAGAGTGTCTTCTCCAGCCTTTGGAAACGATTCCAAGATTATGGTAATGTGAGTAGATGTTACAGCACAGGTCACCCCCCGAGTTACAATGCCGAAAGAGGACCTGTATATATATTTGGCAGTTACTGCCAAAAGAAACAGACGGAGAACAGTATCAGATCTGTCTCGTCAGCTCTCTTCAGCTACTGGTACGACAGTTTCAAGGCAGACCGTGTACTAGGGCACATTGGTCTATATGCTCGTAGACATGTCAGATGTGTTCCACTTACCGCAACTCACTATCACCTGCGATTAACCAGGAGTAGAGAGCATGCATTGTGGACGCCACAACAGTGGTCTTGTGTGATGTTTTCCGACGAGTCCAGGTTTAGTTTGCAGTCTGATTCTCGCCGGACTTTAATATGGAGAGCGTCAGGTACCCGTTACCACTAAGAGAACAGCATTGAACGACACCGTTACGGCGGTGCAGGATGGCTCGTTTGGGGAGGAATTATTCCTGGTTCCAGAATTGACCTGCACGTTCAGAGTGTAACGATGACAGGCCACATCTATCAGGATGTCATTCTGGAACAACATGTATGTTTGTTTCCGGTCGCCATGGGTGCTGAATTTCTGTTTATGGATGACAACGCCCGTCCTCACCATGTAAACATTGTAGACGAATGCCTTCAATCGGAGGATATCACCCGTATGGATTGGCCTGTATACTATCCGGACTTGAATCCAATAGAGCATGTGTGGGATATGCTTGGCCGATGAATTGCAGCCCATCAACCCCCTCCCACATGTCTACTGGAACTTTGGAGGGCATTGCTTGATGAAAGGTGTAATATTCCCCAAGATCTGTTTGATAATTTGATACTCAGCACGCCTAGGCGTTGTAAGGTCTGTATTGCATAGTCCGGGAGACATACTCCGTATTAACTATCATACTAACCATGTTATACTGTTTTTTGTAAATAGGTTTATTTTTTGAAATTTGCTCCAGGGAGTAAAAATCGCAATTTTTATTAATCATGTCAAACATATAGCATCTTGTTTGCTCTTTACCTTTTGTTTAATAAATAGACTTTATAAATAAGTCAAATTTGTTTTGCTTCTGTCTCTTTCTTTACCTGAACTTCATTATCCTTAATTTATGGACATGAGTGTAAAAAGAAAAATGTAAAAAAAAAAAAAATAATAATCAGCAGACAATGTATCTGCTTTTACGGTAAAAACCGATTTCAGTTTCAAATTTAAAAATTCAATTGATACTTCAATGGAGACCTGAACTTTCAAAAAAGTATCTCGCGCCTTAGTATTTACGATCCCATTTAGAGTTAATTCTCCGCTTCTATATTTCTCAAGAGCCCGCTTCGTATCTGGAACTCAGGAGCTCAAATTCCCGTAGAAGCTAAGTATTTTGCATTTAGAGTTATTTATAAGTTTTTACTTGGCACATTAAAGATTCAAATTTTAGAATTAAAATGCGCTCTAGATCTATGCGCAAGCATTGAGCTACTTCAGTTTTAGTCCCAGATTCTGTTGTTTATGGATTCTACCTTGGAAAATGTCCAGGAATACGTAATACAATGCAATCCATTACTCTTAAAAACTTTACAATCCGACCCGGGGGCATGAAGACAGAAGCGAAATTATTTAAACTATTGTGACATCGGGCATGAATAAGTTCGAAATAAAAATATGCGTCTGAAAGAGCTGGCATTTATCTTATATATCAGGATAAATTACAATCATGACCGTTTTTTGAAAAAAAAAATGTTTTGCTGAAGAGTTTTATTGAATTCATTTGTTATTTGATAATTTTAAAAGCACGATTCTCAGCCAAGAGTAAACTAAAAGGTAGACAATATATATATATATACCGTGAAAGTCAAAAGGTTTTAAAATATTTCTTGTTTGCTTCGTACTCAGGGAGCAATTTGTCGAATGTATTGCGTAGAATAAAAGAAATTATGTGTCACACATTTTGTATATGTAATATATTGTATTTACAATTTGTTACTCTTTGGAGATTTTTAAGAGTAAATTGCAGAAGGTTGCCGATGTTTTTGTTTCAAAAGTAGCCTAGTTTATATACATACAAAATGTACTGGAGCTTATTTCTCAAGCTGTTATAATTTCTCGAAGAAACGCATATGCTTTGTTATCTTTAATTTTTGTAGTGAAATGATAGTCTATGTTTGAGTTTAAGGTTTTGGATTTTTTAACACTCAGTTTCTTCCGTTCCATCTTCAATTAATATAAAATCAAATAGATAAAAAGATGTGAATATTCACTTTAAAAATTATTTTTTACGGACGATAGGATTAAAAATATAATTTAAATTACACATATTGTTTTAACGAAGAAAATTAATTAAAGGATTTCTTGATCAGTTGTAGAATTAATACATTTTAAAAATACATGAAATGCTATAAAATTTTTGGATTATTTTTAACTTAGTGCGTAATTCCTTTAATTATGTACATTATTACCTTATATCATTCCTTAAGTTTAATAGCAAAATTTAAAATTACTAAATTCTAGTGCTATATAAGAAAGTGAAAAAATATATATTTAGATTTTTTAAAGCTTTTATTTACGCAGCAAAGTTTTTACTCTAAGTATTTTAGAAATATTTAAAACAAAGCAATCAGTTGCTGAAAGAATATGAAACAATTTCGAATCATTACATTCTTAGAATAAGACTAAAAAATTTAAGGGTACCAGGAGATGCTTGAAAGAGTAAACTATCAAAAATAAGACACTTTGTGTGTTTATGGTTTGATTGATTGATTGAATATTAACGGCGCACTGTTCAGCTACACGAGGGCTTTTGACGACGGACCGCGTCATTTTGAACCATGGTCAAGTGACGTGGACGACACCTGAGCTGGAACCCCCCTCTCCTAACTACCACACCAACGGGAGGACGTTTGAGCTCTCGACAGATTTAACGTGCATCGCTGCCCTACACGGCGTGTCTTTAGTGGTACTGGGTTCGAACTCGTGACAATGCAAGCCACGATCCGATAACTATACCACTCGGCTACCTCGGCCACTGTGTGTTTATGGGATATATATCTTTAAAAAAATTTACAATAGAGCTTAGATTTTTTTGTGATCTTAATAAGAATATTTTAATCATTCTGTAGAAATATAAAAAAATAATCTTTTAGTAAAAAATTTTTTTTTCTGTTTAATTTAAGTTGGACCTAATTTTTGAGATCTCATAATACATACTTATGTTCACGTGTCATTTTTAAAAAGAGGTATTTCTCTTAAATATGTAAAATATTTTTTGCTCATATATAAAACAATACACAAAACGTAGTAAACCTATTTTTTAGTAAAATATTATGATAGTTGCTTTAAAAAAATTATTAAACTTTGTAATTTTAATTTTTTTTATTTTTTCCGCCTTTTTTACACATACAGCTATTTTTTTAAAAAAAACTATGTACAAATTCTACGTAAAAAATAGGTTTACTACATGTGCACAGGTATCCTGTATAGAAGTACAAAAGTCTTGGAACCCCCCATATAGTGCAATAGTTTTTTTTAAATATGTGTACCTAAAAGCAAAAAGTGGAAAACTAAACATTTGTAAGCGTTTGCTTACATTTTTGTCAATTACTTTTTTCATATT